CTGGGAGGAGCTGCTGGCGCTAGAGGGGGAGCCATCCGAGGAGCCATCGGGCACAGAGGAAGGGTCAGAGGAGGGGGACGAGGGAGGCGCAGAGGGCTGGCTGGGGTGCTTGGAGGGGCTTGATGCTGTGGCCATGGCTCAGGGCGGGGAAGAGGAGGAGAAGCTTGGGGTCGGGAGGGGGGAGGGGGAGGAGGGAGGGTGGGCGAGCTTCCTGTGGGAGGAGGAGGAGCCGTGAGGATGCTTTGCGGAGGGGCTTGGACGTGGACGGGTTTTCAGGAGAGATCTCGCTGCGGCAGGAGGGAGAAGGAGCGGCGAGCGGGGGGATGATGGTCGACGTGAGATTGGGGATGGGAGAGGGCTGTAGAGGAGGGGGAGGCTTCGGCAGGGAGGGATCGCTTCCTGTGGGAGCATGAGGAGCTTTGAGGAGGAAGAGGAGGAGGAGCGAATTTGCATCGGGAAGGAGGTGGGTCGCATGTGGGACGGGGGTTCAGGAGCGCTCGGAGGCCGGAGAAGGAGGGACGAGGAGGGGGATGGAGTTCGATGTGAGATTGGGGATGGGGGAGGGCTGTAGAGGAGGGGATGGGGTTTAAGATCTTGAGGTTCAGATTGTATGAGGTTTGAATTGTACGTAAAGCCTCCGTGCCGAGACTGATTCCGAACTTACACTTTCAAGCAGCCATGGGTTGTTGGCTAGGAAGCTCCTGTGCCTCATGGCACGTGCCACAGCTCCTGTACTTCTGATCTGCGGGCCCTACTGAAGAGCTTGCAAGTTCAGCGTTGGATCAGCTTTTGCTCACTTTCGCTTTCACTACCAGTGAAACCCGCCTCAGCTTTGTCAATCCTAGAACTGCCCCTGCCTTCACATCCGGACCGACAAGATAGTCGCCATGGCGGGCCAGCATGTACGCGAATCTGGATGATGTAGATGTGGACACAGAAGCTAGATCATGTGACGCAGATGTGTACGAGGGCTAGCAAGTTTCGCACGTGTAGACTGACGAGAAGTGAACACCTGCAGCAACTTGATGAAATCCATGAGAGACTTTAAACATGGAGAACAATCAAGGCTTCTCAAGCTTCGAAGGAGTGCAGGCAGGAATCTTGAGCGAGTTGTACAAAGAGTTGAAGATATCCACTCGCCTGCAAGACTTTGGAGTCATCGAAGAGATCAAAGAGAGCTTCTCTGGGTCCCTCCAGCGAAATGCAGCCTTGTTCGAGTTCTTAGATTTTGATTACTCTCAGAGCTCTGCAAACAGCAATCGTGAGACGTTCTCAGAGAGATATGCTCGATGCTTTGTTAGCAGTCCAATGGAGGACATGCAGGAGGAGCGACGGCTCTTGTCTGAAGATGTATTCCCAAGGATCCGATTGCAATGTCTGAGCCGAGGAGTCCATTTCGTCGAATGTGACTTCGGATGGAACGTGAGTGATGATACAGCTTATGAGAGGTCACGAGTCGAGCATCGCATGTTAGAAATCAGGCAGAATGTCAAGACATACTTCATCGGGGTGGTGGGAGATCGACTTGGAAAGACCTTTCATGTTGAGAGCACGGCTGAGCATAGAAACGATCTCAAGTTGAACATGAATCAAGAACTCTTTGTTGATCTACAGGTGATGAAGACTGCGGCCTGTCTCGTGCTTTTTGAGTAATTGTTTTGGTCAAAGGATGCAGAATTTGATGAAGCCTTCCAAGACAGGAGGGGAGAATCCTCCATGTTTTATTACTTTCGAGATACAGAATATTTGACCAAAGTGATTCTTTGGTATCAGATGTTTGTTTGGTTGATTGGCTTTTAGATACAAGATGCTTCCAAGATGAAATCTTTGTCATGTGAAACCTTGAGGGAGAAGGAAAGATTGAGTCGACTAAAAACCAAGTTGAGAAGCTCGAGGGGAGTTCTTGTCAGGTACTACTTGTCGTTGAGAGATGGCCTTCTGAACCTACAGGAATGAAGGGAAGATTACAAAAATCCTTCGGAATTTGCAGAACTGGTCTACAAAGATTTGATGGCTCAGATTGAGAGGGTTTTCTTTGCTACAATCGTATTATGTGCTCACGAAAGCTCGTTCAGGACTTTGCTCTGGCATCGGAGGAGAGATTTCAGGAGGAGGTGGATGCGCATATGGTACTTGAGTTTGAAGAGTCTGTGGTGCATTTCTTCGAGGGTCGTGAAGATGTGAGGAGGAGGAGCGATGCTGCTTCTACCCTTGACGTTTCCGTGTAAAGGAAATGAATGAGCTGGACCAGAGAGTGCTTGGGCTTCAGACATTCAAGCATCCGACCATCGTTGTAGGTGAAGCCCTCTGTGTATTGCTTGTTTGTTGAGATTACAAGGACCGTTGATGCAGGCAGTGAAGGCTGCGGGAAGACAGCCTTTCTCGTTGCTTGGAGTCAGCGGTTTCAAAGCTCAAACGCGTTTGACTTGTTTTTCCGTCATTACTGTTCCATGAACAACGAGATGAGACAGTGGACGTTCATGATACGACGTGAGGAGCTTGGATCCTCACTCTGATTGACAAGATCGGCAGGTCTGTTGCAAGACATCAAGAAGCGGTTCGGTCTTCGAAAGCAAGTGCCAGACGATCACGAGCTGTTGCCTGGAGCATTTGCGATGTGGATCAACATACTGTCATCGATATCAGCGAGAGCTATTCTCATGATCGACGGCGTTGAGAAACTCTGCCCTGTGTTGACAGACGACAAACCTGAAGGAGAAATCGCTGCAAGCTCAATCAAGGCAAGTAAAGATGAGCTTGACTTGGACATCTGGATGCCAAAACAAGTTCCCAGTTCTGTTCGGATCGTGTTGTCAACAACTCCACAATCTGATGCAACGACGAAGCTTGTTGCAAGGAAATGGAACATATACGAGTTGAGATCACTGGATATGAAAGAGAAACATTCAATCCTCGAAAGATGGATGAGATCTAAGAACATCTCAATGCCGGAGAAGTTGCAGGTATGTCGTGATATCATTTCAAGCATGTCGTCTTCAACCATGACCCTCATCGTTCTTGCAGGAGAGACTCACTGAAAGGACCTCAACCTCCAACGCTCGTTTCTTCACGTCGGTGCTAAGATCGATTCAAACCACCCATGACCTTCGCCCTTCTGGCTCCTACGGCTCCTTCTACAACTTGCGAAGCATAGAAGAGCTCAACGCTGCACTGCTGGCGCGCTTGGAGCGAGGGTGTGAGGTCGTGGGTCTGTGCGAGGAGATGCTGACCTGTGTCAGCTTGTCTCGCCGAGGGCTGAGCGAGTTTGAGCTGCTCCGCCTGCTGCAGGTGCCTCGTGCCTTCTTCTCCAAGTTGTACATCCACGTGCGCGGCTTCTTCAAGGTCCTCGGGGGGCTGATGAGCTTCGACAACAGCTCCCTTGAGGAGGCGATCAGGCGAAAGTACCTGAAACATCCTGAGACTATCAAGTCCTGCCGCCTCCGCATCGCTGCCTCGTTCACCAGCAGGAGTCTCTCCTTCCGGACCGTCGAGGAGGTTCCATGGCAGTTGTTCCAGTGCAAACGATGGCAGGACCTTTGCAATCAGCTCATGAGCCCTCCGTTCCTGCTGAAGCTGGTGCAGCACCCCAAGGGAAAGGCTGACCTGGTGTTCTACTGGACGTACCTCGGCTCGGATCTCTTTGGCGCCATCAACATCATAGACAGGTGTGAGGAATGCGTTAGACAAGCGTCGGAGCTCGAGTTCGATCTCAAATCCCGTGTCGAGCTCATCAACTCCATCGCAGAGCTGCTGCACAGGATGCGATATCATGACATCGCGCTGTCGTTCTACAAGCGAGCAAGGGAGGCTGAAGATCAAGAGCTAGGGCTTCCTTTCCTTGCGCACGTTCAATACATGCTGGTAGAAGCAAGGCTCGCGGCGGACAAAGGCGATTTCCGGGGCTCGAAGCTAATTTTCTGGAGAGCTGTTGAAATGCTGAAAGAAGAAGTAGACGAAGACAACGACGGGAACATAACATATGAAGAACTGAAGAACTCGAGCGCAGGGACGTTGTTCCTCGACACAGAAGAAGAGTTTGTGTACATGCTGTGGGAAGCAGGATCATACAGCGAGCTTGAAGAGATCTGTCTGACGATGTTGAAGCGAGAAGAAGACCGGCCAACCAACGAGCTTCTCCTCTTCGACAGCCTCGTGCATGTCTACCTGGAGCGAGGGAAGAAGGACTCAGCTTTCAACTTCATGCAGACATGCGTAAGGCAAGTTCCCAACCAGTGCCGAGAAGAGTTCGTCCACGTGCTCTCGAGGTTCCTCGCGTTCTTGAGTGTCTCCCAACGGCACGTGGAGCTCGTCAGCTTCGTCGAGTCTCAAGCCCAGCTGCTGTCCGAGCTGTCGCAATCTGACCCCGCGAAGTTCAGGATGGACCTGGTGGACCCTGCCGTCCTCTATGCCTTCGCCCTCAGCCGCTGCGGACGAGGGGAGGCTGCGCTCGAGGTCCTCAAGACGTGCCTGCTCAAAGTGAACCCGCTCCCTGACGCGGAGGATGAGGAGAGTGAGAGCGAGACCGGCAGCGACGCGTCCTCGGAGTTCGAGGAGGAACGAGAGGAGGAGCTGGGGGCAGACGAGCGAGCGGCTGGTTCGATCATTACGAGCGCGATGATCTACGAGGTTGCTAGCGTGATACACCGACAGCTCTTCGAGTTCGACATCTCGGAGCACCTGCTAAAGAGGTCGATCTTCATCAAGAAGATTGAGTTCGGATCTCTCGACCCCTCTGTCGCCTTGTCTGTCGGAGAGCTGGCAGACCTCTACGAGTCTGTTCGCAACAAGGAGATGGCGCTGAAGATGCGAGCGATCGCTTGTGCTGTCATGTCGCAAAGTCAAGGGAGCCGGTCGCTGCTCTACTACAAGGCGCTTCTTGCTCAGGCTGTCAGCTTCTGGAAGTTCGGGAGTCACGACGCGGCGCTGAATGTCGTCAGGACGATCATCGCAAACGTCGAGAACCAGTTCGGGTCCTCGCACGAGCTGCTGATGCAGGCGAACAACCTGGAGGCCCTCGTGCTGCTGGCGGTCGGAGAGCTGCGGCAAGCGGAGGAGGTAGTGGAGAGAAACATCCGCACGTGCCGCGCCCTCAAGTCCGAGTCTCATCCTGACACCCTCGTTGCCGAGAACTGCCTGGGTCAGATCCTGGAGCTGAGAGGAGACTTCGAGCTGGCTGAGCTCAAGTACAAGGAGGTGATGGGGCGGAGGAGGGAGGCGATGGGGAGCATGCACGAGTACCTGCTGCAAGACGTTCTCAGCCTGGTCCTCCTCTACTCAAGACTGGGAGCCTTCAAGGAGGCTCAGGAGCTCGTCAGAGACAACTTGCCCTCTGTGAACGCGTTCCATGCTCCCGACTCACTGCCCATGGCCGCCATGTTGGACGTGCTGACGGTCACGGAGCTAGCAGGAGAGGGGAGGGCCGAGCGAGGCCTCGACCCCCGCGCGAGTGTCTCGAGGTCCTTGAGGATACGGAGCAAGCTCCTTGGCAAGGGCTCCGACCTGTTGCTGCTGTTCGCCGCCATGCACGGCCTCCTCCTCGTCCACTCAGATCACTTGAGGATGGGATGCCAGCTGCTACAGGTGGCTGCGGACCTGGCAAGAGGCTCGAGAGTCATCTCTTCTACCCTCAAGAGTATGATCAGAGAGAGCCTGAGCAGGAGCACGGAGCGAGCGCGGGCAAGGGACCCCACGTTCTCCCTGTCGCAGTACAAGAACCCCTGGGAGCTGGAGGCGCAGGCCGTCGGTCTCAGCAGCACCTCAGAATACTTCATGTCGCTGCTGCTGGGGAAGAAGGTGATGAAGGGATACAGCGATCCGATGCCGCAGCTGGATGAAGCAGCTTCGAGCTCAGCTGGGGTGGAGGAGCTTCTAGAGCGGGTGCAGGAAGGGAGAGGAGGAGGAGTGAGGCCGCGCTCTGCCTCCTTGTTGAGGAAAGAGCCTCCCAAGGCACAGAGCGTGGAGGTGAAACGGCCTAAGACTGCTCACGTGATGAGGATGAAGCAAGAGGAGATGGACTTGTCCCCTCGAACAGAACGGGCGTGCTGAAGTTGGCAGTTTTAATTCCATTTCTTATCTTGTTTCTCATTCCCCTCCCTTTCCTCTTCCTTTCCTTGTCCTTCTCCTCTCTCGCTGTCTCGTTAGCATGCTCTCGTGTGTAAATATCTCCACGAACCTCCTCCTCCTCCTCCTCCTCCTTCTCCTCGTTCTCCCTCGCTTCACAGACCATACCCGACCCTTCCTTTCCCTTGTCTTGCAAGATTCAGCAGCTTGTCCGACTCCGTCCCGCTGTCCTCCTGGATGAGTAAAGTGTTCTTGCGGAAGTACTCGTCCTCCATGGGCAGCTGCAGATCCTCGGAGATGGTGGAGTACTCCTGCACCATATGACGTCAACGGTGTGAGAGCAGCTGGTGCAGCTGCAGGAGGAAAGCAGAGGAAGAGCTGGGGGGCAGCTGCAGGAGGAAAGCAGAGGAAGAGCTGGGGGCCAGCTGGGGAGGAGCTCACCTCTGCCAACCCTTGCTTGCCAGGAGGTAGGACAGAAAGTCTGTGGTAGGCAACCTCTCCGTGGTCCACCCAGTCGAGACCTGTTGACACGTTCAGCATGGTGGAAAAGACGCGGGAAGAGAGAGGAGGGGGTAGAGGAGCGAGTGGAGAAGGAGGTAGAGGAGCAGGTAGAGAAAGAATTTGTTCACCGGCTTGCTGCCTTTCGTCGTCGTGCGTCAGCTTTCCGAAATGGTTCTCAAGCAGGCGGAGGAGGAGCCAGGTGATTATCCCTGCGTACAGGCCGACGATGAAGACTCCGATAACCTGAAGAGAGGAGCATGAGGGAACAGCAGGACACAATGTAAGGGGCGGGAAAAGGAGCAAGAACGAAGGAGGAAGAGGAGGAGGTGGTGGTGGTGGCGGCGGCGGCGGAAGCAATACTGGTGGTTGTGGAGGAGAGGAAGACAGGATAGGAGGGAGACCTGCATGCCGAACTGAGTCCACGAGGTGTGAAAATGAACTTCGAAGCTCGACACTTCCTCCGACTCCCTCCTCCCAAACACCCCAAGGAGGACAGCGCCGACAGCACCTGCGAGGAGGCGTCAGGGCACCAGCCAGCCCTGACACTCCTCACCGGTCGCTCCGTGAACCATGTGGACGTCAAGAGCATCGTCGATGTGCAGCCGCGCCTGCTGTCACTTCAGGGACCTTCCCTGCCGCTCCTCTCGGAGAGTCCGACCAACCTTGGACAGCCGGATGCCGTAGTAGGACACGAACCCGCACGTGATGCCGATGAAGATGGTCGCCTGCGTGCTGATCCACCCCGACGCTGCCGTGATGCCTGAGAGGACTGATGAGTCGAGCACTGCCTCCTCTTGCCTCTCCTGCTTCCTCTGCCTCTCTGAATTCTTCTCCTCCCCCGCTCACCTGCTAGCCCAGCAAGAACTCCGTTGAAGATCCCGGTCGCCGCTGGTCGGTGATGGATCATCGACAAGATCAGCCAAACAGACTGAAAGAGGGTCAGGAGAAGCAAAACGTGAAGGTGATATCCCAATCCCTTTCATCGTCATCTCCATCGTTATGAGACTCCACCACCATGAATCACCCCGCATCCTCCTCCTCCTCAATCACCACCTCCACCTCCTCCTCCTCGTCCTCCTCCACCACCACCTTCTCCTCCTCCTCGTCCTCCTCCTCCTCCTCCTCCTCCTCATCATCATCATCATCATCATCATCATCATCTCCCAGACCACCATATCCTCCTCCTCCATGGATTGATTACCGCCGAGAAGCAAGCTGCAATGTGAGTGCTAACAACAGCAGACACAGCAAGATTTCCTGCTTGCAGTGCGGATCCTCCGTTGAAACCAAACCAGCCCATCCACAGAAGAGCTGACATGGAATGATAAGGCACCTTGAAATCCTTTTTTACCCTGCCTCTTCCCTTGCCTACTCTCAACCAACTTCTCCTCAAACTACCCCTCTCCCACTCCCTCCTCCCCCTCCTGCTCCTCCTCCTCTCACCCGTGCCGATGCCAGCAAGTGGCAGATTGGACGGAGGAAACTCTCCATGGTAGAGATGAAAGTCCTTCCTCCGAGTTCACATCATCGTCAACCCCGGCAATTCCCCAGCTCGCCACGAGCTCACCGATATACATGGCAACGACCAGCGCCCCCACCCCAGCTGACACGTGAATCACGATCCCTCCCGCAAAGTCCTTGACCCCCCAGGTACCCAGGAAGCCTCCTCCCCAGATCCAGTGGCAGACGGGGTAGTAGACGAAGAGCTCCCAGAGCACGGTGAAGGCCAGGAAACAGTCCCACCGGAGGCGCTCGGCGAAGGACCCAGTCATGAGCAGCGGCGTGATGGAGGCGAACATCATCTGAAAGAGCGCAAAGAGAGCTGCTGGGATGTTCTTGGCGTGAGGGCCACACTGATCATACCGCACGTTGAACCAGAGCAGATGCGATGGGGCACCGATGAGGCCGTTCATGGTGGGGCCAAAGCACAGGGTGTAGCCGAAGAGCAGCCACATCACAGAGAGCAGCGCGTTCCCCGCAAACGCCTGATGGTGAAAGTATTTGTGAGATAAAGTCGATGCTCGTAGGCGATCATGCCTGAGAGATGATGGAGAGAGAGTGCTTGGATCGCAACATCCCAGCTTCGAAGAACGCTAGTGCTGGGCTCATTCCAAGCACAAGTGCAGTAGAGACGCTGCATGCGAGTGAGATATCACAGAGGGTCGAATAAACCATACATGATCCATGTCGTGTCTCCGGAATCCATGTCGCAATCCACTCCGAGATGCTTGGGTGGCAACATCGTATGAAACCTAACCTGCAGCAAAGTCAGGATTTCGTCCGCTACACCTCAAATGAAGTGAGAAGATTGAAGACGACAAGTTAGATGTGAAGAAATCAAACAATATCAGATGTCAGACTGCGATTATCCTCGAATCTTCATCGCAAGACATTCTTCTAAACACTCTTGCACCGCTGTCCTTTACAGCATCATACCATTCGGGCTGAATAAGCTGGATCTACACTCGCTTCTTGTCCTCGAGCTACTAATGCTACATCTTCTTGGAATCATAAGCACGTGGGACGAGCTCTCAGCTTCAGCTTCTTCTTCCGCCTCCTCCTCCCGCCTCCCCGTTCGCCCATCTGCCATTCGGAGCGATGACGCCATGGGGAACGTGTGTGTGACGCTCTGTGAATGGCTTTTAAAACTTTATTTTAAAATATCAAGCACTGTTTAATAGTACCTTTTTAAAATTGGTACAAATTAAATCTATTTCTGCATTGTTTATAAATTTTTGTTATTGGTTTTCGCGTTTTAAAATATTGTAGAGAGCTTTCTTCCCCGGATTAACACAGACCCAAACGCAGTACAAACAACATGCCGAGGCGAGCTGGCAGCTTCATTTAGGACCGCTCGTCACAACAATTTGAACTGGCGTCCGAAGGGCCTCAGGGAACCGGCGATTCACGGAGGGAACCCGCGAGCCTCGGACAGACAGGCTGTCTTCCTTGCCTGCCACCCACCGCCGGAGCTCCGGCTGACAGTCACTGTCACAAGATCTTTTACTTTTACTTCATCATTTAGGCACGGTGCGGCACCGTCACCATCGATCGGAACTTGGCAATGATGGCGCGGCCCGGGCCACGATCATCGGATTACCTCAGTGTCCGACCGGGCACTTCCGAGTGTACGCTGAGAGCCGGGCAGACTGAGACTCGGACCGTGCCGTGACTGCGGCGTGGCACGCCGCCCGGCCGCGCCAGACCGTCCAACTTACGCATGGCCGGCCGGGCTGAGGGCGGCCCCGGCCCGGGCCGAGTGACCGTACGGTGTCCGAGCCCGCCGTCATCAGGCCCGGGGCATCGTCGCCGCTCGCCGGGCCGGCCGGGAGTCCGACGGTGCGGCCCGGACCGTACCGCACGCGGCGGCAGGCTAGGCTCAAAGCATCGGATACTTGAAATCGGGGCCGCCGCTGGCCCCGGCCCGTGACGGACCGTGCCCGGCGATGGCTACGTACCTGGCCGGCAAGCCAGCACGGTACGTAAGGGTGCATCGTTTTCTGAGGGGTGGGGTCATATGGTCAAGACCTTTGATGACCCGGTGGTACTCGAAAGGACCAGTGGAGATAGTGGGTGGTCGGTGGGATGTACGTCTGGGACCAGATTAGATCGATCAGTGTAAGAGTTTCTTTTTTGTTTCTTTCTGGTACCACATTAGTACCGTAATGGCCGAGGCCGAGCAGACGATAACGAATCACTAGCAAAGGGGGTGCTATCGTGTTAGTATTTCATAATATTATTTTCATCTTTGTGTAAATTTTCAAATATTAAACTTAGAGTATAATGTATCACCGAAATAGTGGGACGAAATGGTATTTGAAGGAGTCTCAAAGCAGTGACTACCTTCACCCACTCAATCCCAGGGAAATGTACGGGTCATAGTCAGATTTCCCCCTGCATTCTGACTAAAACGGTAGGGTGGGGTCTGGGTTCGTTCTTCCAGTCTGAAAGCGAAAAAATGCGCTTCGCGGCTTTCACTGTCCTTGTCGCGATCTGCGCAGCAGTGCCGATGAGGAAGAGGATAGATGATGATGACTCCATATCTGCCATCGCTCCTCTCAAGGCCTCGAGCATTCCTGGCCCGTCATGCACGCTCTACAACAACTCTGGGGGCTGCAACGACGACCCCTGCTGTACTTGGTAAGATTTCTTGAGCGAGGGTGTGGAATCTGCAAGGACGTGGTAGACATGCACTGCGATGAAGACATCTATGCATGAGTTTTGTATCGATCACTTTTTTTTTGGTCATGTCATGCTTGTATTCACATAATTTTGGTCCTGTTTGATGGTTTGATGGTGGAATCGCAGGTGCGGAACCATCTTCAACGCGACGAAGCCAGGCTTTTGCATGATGATTACCCCCTTCCCTATCCCGACTCTGCAGTGCCAGAAAGCTCCTACCACTTGCGGTCAATTCATGAGTCTCCCAGACTGCGACGAGCACAGCGATTGCATGTGGGTACCCGAGGGCCCGATCTCCGCCAAGACTGGCATGTGCGTGTACAACTGGGACAGCTGCAAGACGCCAACGAGCGAGAGATCGACTGTGCACAAGAAGGCCAAGAAGTCTCATTCTACTGCCCCCTCCCCTCCTGCTCCTCCTAGCCCGCCGACTCCTCCCACTCCCCCCGCGCCCCCTGCCCCGATCATGTGCAACATGACAACAGCAGAGGAGTGCGATGCGACCCCATGCTGCCAGTGGTATGTTGTTTGAACTGTGACAAGAGCTTGCAGTGACGGTTTTCTTTCATTGCTTCTTGTCTCTCTTTCCCTCTCCCTTCTCCAGGTGCGGATCCATCTATAACACAACCGCACCAGGCTGGTGCATGAAAGTGCTCCCTGTGCCCATCCCCGCGATGAAGTGCTCCAAGGTAGGGTCAACGACGACATCTGAACCGGTTTTCATGGCTAGCGGTCCGCATTGTGACTCTTTTCCTTTGTTGTCAACCAGGGAAACATGAAGTGCACGGCCTTCAAGACGGAGCTGGCTTGCAACGCTTCTGCATCAGTTGGAGCGGTAATTCCTTCATTTCTGTCTTTCACGGTTTGATGTGCTGGATGGCAGTCCTGCAAGTGGGTGCCCTTCGGCCCTCCAGGAAGCATCAAGGGAATCTGCATCTCTGGGTGTGATTAGAGACGGGATGATGTGTGATTTCCTGTGTATATGAAATCAGTTGAGAATTTTTCAAGCCTTCAAAATGAAACTCAAAACATTTCGATATCGTTCTTCAATGTGTCCGGTTGCAGTGAGGGAGGAGAAGAGAAGGGACAGGTCGACTAGAGACAAAATTTCGAAAGGTATCACGGTTTTTATCTGTACAGGTTCCAACAGCAGTGGACCACTACAACTTTCCCGGCGTCCGTTGACGTCAGCTTCATTCCATTCAAGCGAGTCAGGGATGGGTGGTCTGTAGCACTCCCTTCAAAAGCACAAGCAGTGCCAACGAATGAACATGAGAGAAAATCCAAGAGCGACAGCCCTTCACTCGAGCTGTGAGCCTAGATCCTTCATCGGCGAGACGTAATGGGTTGTGATGACTGTAGGGCTGGTTCGAAACATAGGTCAGACCTCACACGCTTGCTACTTGCAGGCATACCGGTGATTAAAAACAATCTTCTTCTTGATGATTCCGGCTATGCTGTATTCCGTAGCCGATTGGCCGCCTTGCAAGGGCTCTGACTTTCTCTTGAGCATTACTGCGAGAGGGCTGCTCAGGTCGACGATTTTGCCTTCCAGCCTTTGGTTTCCTACTGTCAGAGATACATTCTTGTCTCCTTTTTTCATCTGCAGGTTCCCAATGTCCAATCCGTCAAGGCTGTCCGAGGAATCTCTGGCCTGGAGCATGCCTTGCATCTCGATCATGGTCCATTCCTTGGGTCCGTCCGCGGGACTTTTCACGAGGATTTCTCTGCATGGAGGGATCTCAGATGCCTGCTGTGTCTGCCCATTCACCATGACTCCAAACTTCGCTGCTGCTCTTCACCGTGAAATGCACAATTTGTCCCTGCAGCATGACGGAGTCAGCGGCAAACCGTAGAGCAATGGATAGTGTAGTGCAACTGACAATACAAAGCTGAAAAGCTAGCAAATAGTTTCAAAGCTACGATGACCATCATTGCTGCATATCAGCTTTTGTTTGCACGAGTGCTCGTGTGAACAACGGATTTTTTGTTGTCACTGAAGTATATGTAGTAGAAACAAAACGTTCATGACACCACCAGCATGCATGATTCAATTCAATTGGAAGAAATAGCCCAGAATGTTTGAGACGCTGTGATCGCATGCTTGGTGAGATTGAGAAAGTGTATTCAGTCACCAAAAGCGAGAGGGTACAACCTCCTTAAAGGTCAGCGAAGTAATAAGAGAGTGTGAAGAGATGAAAGAGGGAGGAGAGGAGAAGCATGCATGTCAGGATAAGAGAGAGATGAAGACAACATGAAGGATTTAGAAGAGGAGAGGGTGAAGACGACATGAAGGAGTCAGAAGAGGAGGAGGGAAAGGAGATGGAGGTGTCAGAGGAGATGGAGGATGACATGGAGGAGTCAGAGGAGGACAATAGGGAGGATGAGACATGACGGGGAAGAGATGTTGGTGGAGGGCAGGAGAAAGGGGCAAGAGGAAAGGGGAAGGGGGAGGCGGGAGATCAGATCTATCGATCAGCCGCCATATGGGACGGGAAATTGGCGCCAAGTCGTCTTTTTTTTGGTGGAAGTGTAAAATTTAAAAACAAAACAAAGGGACCCTCCTTCATACTTCTCCTCCTCCCCCGCCCCCGGATGCAAGGTATGCTCCCACTTGCTTGCAGGCTGAGTCAACTTCAGTATGCTGATACTTCACCATGTTGCCGCACTAGCCGGTCTATTCACGCAGTTACCGCACCAGCCTGACTGCCTGTTGGATCAGTTAGAGGTAACCACTATTGTTACTTTTCGTCACACACATTTTCATCCGGCTTTCATCGCCAGGGCGACAGAAGAGCAAGAGAAGCTGATAAAAAGAGATCCAAAGGAGGCACCAGCGTGCAAGCAGAGAGAGACAAACAGAAGATGAGCGAAACTAAAATGACATATGGATCTTCTTTGTTAGAGCGTCGATCTGCGGTGGAAGAAGCTATATTAGTCAAGATCGCAAGACACTCTTCTCAACAACCACTTTTCCGAGGTTTGCCATTCCTCTGGATATGACTGGGCCGCGGAAAGGAAGATGGTTTGACGGACCCATAGAAACATGGCTAGATGTATGTTTTTGGGCAAGATGAGGTCGCTGATGGACATGACTGAAGTTCTCCGAAGGTGAATGCTTCATGCAGAGCAAAATGCTGAATTAACGGGCATAGGGATTGAAAAGCAGGGATTTGTGTTGGAAAGTCAATCCCGAACCGAGCATTATGTGCTCCTTGGTAGGGATGGATGGTTTGACTGATCTAGGTGAACTTACATGTCAACTTCATGTTTTGCCCATCTTCCTTTTGATCAGAAGTGCAGGTCATAGCATTTGTGTTAGCCACCACGAGGGATTCTGCTCACCTGAAGATGCTTTATCTCCAAATCTCACAATTCAGGCAACTCAACTTTGCTATAGAAGTAGATGGAGGTCGCGCCTGGATCGTCTCAAGATTGATGTCCTTCGAATGCAAGGCTAACACAGATCCTCAGAATCCAGATAAACAAGTCGAGAAAGATTTCAGATTGGTCTGTGAGATTGATCAGCATAGGCTCTGAGTAGATTGACAAGAGTTGAGGAAAGGGACAGCAAGAAATCAAGTTTTTGGATCAGCAAGTGTTGGTTTTCGCTCCCTGGAGCCAGTGTTTGGAACAATGAGTAAGATAATGTAGAGATTGAAAGCAACCTTGAAGAGTAGATGATGAACGATCAAAGAGGCAGGAAGAATGATCAATTGTTTAGGAAGAACACAGATTCTTCAGGGAAGAAGAGACTCAGATCGGAGATCAGCCTTTGTCTTCAAGGGTGAAGCGACACAGTCGGAATGGTTTTGTCCGGACAGTTGTTCAACAGTTGGGTTTGAGGAAGTGTGATACCCCTTCCCAGGCTTCTTCTCATAACGCAGCCATGATCATATTATATGCGTCTTGAGCTTGATGAGCGAAAGGATTCATTGTTTCACACTGTAGTCTTCATCTCAGTACATTTCACATCCTCAAACAAACCACATCGCCGGGCCAAACAGCTAGTGGTAATGATAAAATCAAGCCCCCTTTTCTTCATCCGAAATAGATCCGAGTACTCAGTAAAAAAGAGGAGTTTAGTAGGAGTTTGGTACAAATATTTATATTTATTTATAAATATTTGTTTAAATATTTGTACCAAAACTCGTTGGAAGTTGATTTTCGGGACACACCCATTTACTACCCCTCGTCCCGTATAGTTCACCCAGGGGTGGAGTCAACACCCTGTGCGATATAAAGTAAAGTCCTTTCACCGCGGCGCCTGCGAGTCCGAGGTATCCATGGTAAGAGCATAGTCGTCGCCTCCCGCCTCTGTACTCATCGAACCTGCACCATGTGGCCTTGTGAAGATGATTCTTCGTCTTGTATGACCTCTGCTTCAAACATCAAGATGATTCTTTGTCTTATATGACCTCTGCCTCAAACCTCATCCTTGACCGAATCGAACTTGACCGCCTCAGTTGGCGCTTTGAAAGCTCTGACTGCCTTGATTTCTCTCAGTTTGCGGACATCAGTCATCTTCAGGGCCTCTTCAGCACCTCCTGGCCTTTGACCACCATCACTGACGATCAAAACCTGAGAGTCGAAGGAAACATTGGCGACGCTTGGAACTATGGGTCTGCCAGCTACCACCACAGAGAATTCGGCGGATCCAGCGGCAAGACTCACTACCTGACATCCTCGGGCGAGAGTGTGTATGGCCCCTATGGAACCGACCATACCATCTTCGGTAAGTTTGGCGTCAGTGACAGCGCTTATGATGCGTTCGACCCTGATCGCATCAAAATGTGCGACTACCCACACGACCAGATCTGGGCCGGATATACCGCGTGTCAAGGCTAATTGCACTCGAGCACAATGCCGTGCCGGTCGGACCTGGTGTGTCGCTGCGAGAATATCGGAGGGCGTGTATGCACTCCTTCAGATGACGCCGAGTCTGTAATAAATCACCATGTTTTGGTCTAGCAAGGGTTTCCCCCCCCGTATCGCATCGTGGTAGTGATTGAGTGGAGGTGGAGTAGCTGAAAACTCACGACGGCACTGAGAAGCTTCAGCCTCGCAGGGTCTGGAAGCCAGTGAGAGCTCGTAGGAAGACAAAGCGGGTAAGACAGGGGACGACCCACTGCGTACGAGCAGTAAGGAAGACAGAGCAGCATCTAAGGCTGGCTCCTGTCAACTTGAAGACAAATGAGCGAGGTCGCCTGCTCCTCAGGCAGACGGGTCTTTTCTCCTCAAGCTCAGCGGCTTCGGTTTGCTTGAGGAGATAGCTGATGATAATTCGGTTGTAGAGGCAAGCCTAGGATGAGCGAAGGGTATGTCCAGCTGTCGTCTTGCACGCGTAGACGATCAGATCCTAGTATACGCATGCGTTCGCAAGAGCAGGGAATCTACCCGGCTAGAGTGGACAACGATGACAGAGGGAGGTGGTTTTAGCTGCAAGAGATCTCGAGCTCGTCGATTTTCTTGAACTTTTGTAGAGCCAAAGCCTTGTAACGACTCGACAAAAAATCCCCCACATACTTCAACACTATAAAAGAATCGGCGAGCGACATGTTCTACCTTCGTCGAATCCAAAGCCTGAACCATCGTAAATCAATGATTGGACCCAGCGAGATTGGTTGCCAAAAGTTATTTGACTCCAGCACAAACTTCAACAACACACATCAAGTGACTTAGAAGTTCAATCACTCTGTGTACATGTAACTACATGTAACTCGATTCTTTTCAAAACCATGAGCTCAGTGTCCGCCTCTCCTACCTCGCGCAGCTGGAAACCCTGGAAACTTCAGAAGAACAATATCTTCATTGACTGAAAAAGAAAGGCAAATATCAGTCTGGCTCTTGAATGAAATGATATAGCCGGTACCAATCTAAAAGAGCACCCGTACAGAATCCCCGGGCTGCCGTGGGTGGTAACGATTATTGCAAGTACAAACCTTGGTCATGGGAAAAGAGCAAACACATGTTAGGGATAAGAACTTAGAAGAATTCGAAGCTGGGCTTTGCATGCTGCAATTAACAAACCATCACTGAACGAAATATTACAAGAAAACCAATACGGTCAAAGGATAGGCGCGGAGGTAGGAGGGAGCCTGGGAGAGTGGATGCACTGAGAAGTGAGCCGTGTAGGTGGTGTGCGACAAGAAAGATGAAGAAGCCTGAGGCACGAGACGGAGAGCAATTATTTGAAATCTTTCACTCTTTCACTCTTTCAATGCGTATCGTGCGGATGCAGTTGGACTGGCTTGTCCCGGGTTGGTGTCGACTTGCTCTTGATCCCGCCTGCAAACATCCATCATGTCGAGCGATGATCGATCATGTCTCCGCACCTATCAAGTGCTCGTGGAAGAATCCTCTATGGCAACAGTTTGTATCTCTGCAGACGTTGGGCCCAAGTGCCTGGTGGGATGCGACACGGAATCAGAAGAAGCATGCGAGGCTCTTGGATCAGCCTACCTGCTCAGCCGCTGATCTATCCATCTGTGCCCTAAAAAGCAATGTACTTCAGTTTCGACAAGGTCGCCTTAAAACTTTGCATGTATTGGTCTTTACCTCGAGAAAGTCTTGGAGCCAAGCTCTCGGTCAATCCTCAACTTCGACTGGAACGACGTGTGGAAGGACCCACCTTCATCCTCTGACCCCGAGTCACTCTCATCCTCGCTCTCGTCGTGCCGAGATGCTGCAGAATTCTTCCCCCGTTGCTCCTCCAGCCTTGAAGTCTGGCAGTCCTCCTTGCTCTTGTGAAGGATTCCAGCCTGATTCAGCCAAGCTTGAAACACGGCAGCGCCGACCGAGTCCATCAGAACAAACTGTCTCAATGCAGCTCCCATTACGCGAGAGACGATGACGGTGTGACGGCAGCAGACGAGGGCAGGAAAGTCTGTCACGTGAAGGCTGCCTCTGAGTTCGTCCCCTTGCCGTGAATTCAGCGTCGTGCAAAGGAAGCACGTCCCAACAAACTGATGCGCAAGAGAGCGCATGTTCTTGAGGATTCCACCTGATAGCTCTCCTTCTGACGAACCTGGTTCAGCGGCTCGGTCGACAAGCACTACAAGATGGACTCCGGCCATGATCAATTGGAGGACCTTGCCTGCATCCGTCACTTCTACCTCGCCATATCGCACATCAAGTTGCTGCTGCTCCTTGGAGCTGTTCGACTTGTTGCTTCTCACCAGCTCCTCCATTCTAGCATTGCGGATCATCATCAGCTCTGCATCGTCGTCGACGTCTTCCAAAGCACGATCGATCTCATCCTCGGTCAAGGCGTTGGGATAGTCAGGGATCGGGATGCTCTGGATGCTGCTGGTTGGTTTGCAAAACACTTCCTCCTCGTAGAATATGCGCGACTTGTCGACCAATGGAGCCGGCATGGCTTTTCGCACCTTCCCAACCATGTCACGAGCGCCATGGTAGAAGATAGAAGGAGGAGCGCACCGTATCTAACTTCACCTGGAAAGACGTCCTTTCTCGCATCTCTCGCCTGCAAGAAAGAACAGCATGAACGGAAAGAGCTCAGTATGGCAGGGGAACGTACCGACAGCACATGGCCATTGTAGGATCATGCTCAAAATCTACCATGTCTTCGAAACCTTCCATCTAGAAACATCAAAATTTCAGGATCCTGCCTTGATCACATATAAATTTGATCTCGTCGTCACATGGAAACTCAGACGGCAGTCCAACCTCTTTCTCCATTGATATGCATACTATTCCATCATGTACCTTGCCTTCAAAACTCCTTTCGCCAATTATTCATCATCATGGCCGCCTTTTCCTATCCCCTTCCTTGCTTCACCCTCTGCATGCTCCCCCCCAACAGTATCTACTTGTAAGTGTCATTCTGCCATCAATCTCTCGAGCACACCTACAGGTAGCACGCATGCTCGTATTCGAGAAATCGCCGCCATGATCGCAGCATTGTACACCATCAGCCTACTTGGTCTAGCCCCTCCTGCCTTCCTCAGTCTGCCGCTGGCCCTCACTTCCATGTCTAGACCATGGAGCCTCCTCCTCCTCTCCCTCTCCCTTCTCCTCACCATCACTCGTTCCCTCCTAGTTCCTCTCCTCGTGCTCCTTCAGCTTCATTCTTCGCCGTTCCCTCGCATTCCCTTGGCATTCCATCGCCATGCATGGAATAATCGGATGGGGTAGGGGTTAGAAAGTACGGGTGTATACAACTACAAAAAGTGGGGTTTACAGAACCAATATTGGAAGTTGTGGGGTGGGGTAGATCTCATTGTCTTGCAGGGGTAGGGGTATCCGTCATGGGAAGGGCGGATGAGTACTGTAGCGTGCGAGGATCATGGCAAGTGATGGGAAGGAGAGCAGTAGGACGCAGATCACAAGAGCGAGGACACCGACGATGACGAGGAGGAGAACGAGGAGGAGGAGGAGAACGAGGAGGAGGAGGGGAGCAGGGACGAGGGAGCCATAGTTCAGACGTCTGGGTCGCAGAGGGTATCAGTTCACCATGAGCGCATGAAGCGAGATTTCAGTTTCAAGGTAGGGGATCAGCAGGCCACCACACCGAGGATCCTTAGAAGAAGCAGGAGGCACAATATTCCAGTTGTTGCCAGCAGGAGAGTTCCACTAGGAGGGTTATGTCAGAGGGACGAGGATCAGACGGTGTGGAGCTTGCAAAATCTTTTAACGTGCCATCGGCGATGTAGAACTGAATGGCAGCGACTGTGCGAGAGCAGAAGCTGCACACAATCTTGCTCGAAGAAGAGTCTCTGTGTCTGCCAGGAAATTCACAGGGTAGCAGATGGGGATAGAGAGCAAAGAGATCGCCGAGAAGCAGCAGCAGCCTCCCGTCCCCTCTGTGGATGACGACAGGTACTTGCCTTGTATTGCTGGGTACGAGGAGGATTTACGGCATGTGCAACAAGTAGCGATGAGGAGGCTGGTCCCATGCCTCCGCCAAGCCATCCAAACAAGAAGCGAAAGGTTCGAAATCTTCTCTCACTCTCTCTCGATCCCCTCTCCTCTTAGTGTACCTCTCCGTCGCTTGCGTCCCCCCCCATCCTCCCGCAAGCTGCTTCTCGTGAAAGGGCGGCAGGTGCTCGAGTTCCAGCAAGTCTTCTTGGACCATCTGCCGAGCGCGCAGCTCTACGAGGTTTGACTGATCCTTGTTGGCGTTCCGAGTGAGAGCAGGCGCAGAGAAGCTACATGCACCAGAACCAAGTGCTGCACGTGAAGTTCACCAAGACAAACTTTCTCATTACTGGAAGGTGATGATGATGATGATGATGATGATGATGATGACGACGACGACGACGATAATGACGAGGATGATGATGATGATGATGATGATGATGATAATGATGATGATGATGATGATGATGATAATGATGATGATGATGATGATGATGATAATGATGATGATGATGATGATGATGATGATGATGATGATGCTGATAGAAGGAGGAGGAGGAGGAGGAGGAGAGAATGTCTTTCTTCTCATCGCAGAGGAGCACGGGCGGGTGAAAGGTCTGACGAGCTTGTCGATCCCTTCAGCGCGGAGGGCCACATCAAGTTCTGGAAGAAGAAATCGAAAGAGATCGAGTTTGTGAAGAGGTTTTTTGCACATCTTGGGCCAGTGACAAGCATGGCGGTCTCTCTTGATGGTCTGAGTTGACTTGCTAGTCGACCATGTCTGATTGCGGCTGTAGGAGTTTGGATGTGCTCGGTCAGCAGCAAAGACAAGGTAGTTTCAGTGTAGAATTGCTGCTGTTGTGCTCTTGCAAGGATTGGTTGTTGTTCGTTATGAGCGGATATGGGATGAGTTGGGCGCACGTTGATTGATTGTTCAAACATTGATCTATGACTTGTTCGCTGAATGATTGATGGAGATTTCTCTGAAGAAGTTTCGTGAGAGATGGCTGACTGTTTCTAGGTCCTGAATGTATTCGATGTCATCAATTTCGACATGGTGAACCGAATCCAACTTGACTTCACGTAAGTTCTTCCTATCATGACGACAAGAATCTTTAAATGCCATCGAAATACTATCGACCGCGATGTTTGTCCTTGATAGTAGCAGTAACTACACAAGCAGTTTCTTGCTTTTGTTGTGTGATGGTGTTGTTGTCTTCGATTTCAACCTTTTGACCTCAATGGTTTTGTCTGCACTGTTTTCGCGGCAGTGATGATTGACGGCACCGCTGCTTGTTGTTGTGCTTGTCTTGATCTCTGATCGCTTCACCTATCAGACCGAGTCGGGTCGAGTGGATCTCGAGGGCAGGAGCCAATAAAATGCTGATTGCGATTGCATGCGCAGACTCAGGTCAGTGTACTGCTGTTCCTCTGGTGGAAACTGACGTTGCTGTTGTCATGGAAGGCGATATTAAGGTGTTCGACTCCAAGGGAAGCAACAAGGAACTGGTAACGCGATGTTTTGAATCTCAGCTAGAGTGGAGGACAAGGACAAGGGAGGAGGGACGACTTGGAAGCGAGGATGGAGCAGGGAGCAGGGAGGAGGAAGGAAGGGAGGATGAAGACGCTGCTGACGTCAACGACAACAGAAGGTGGTCTCCCTCCACAAGCACCCCGTCTGTGCGATGTGTTTCCATCCTCAGGTGAGGCTGCTCGTCTTGACGCGTCTGGATGAGTTTCTGACGCCCGACAGCTGGAAGCCGTCATCTCCACAGACAAGAAGGGGATCATCGAGATGTGGGACCCCGACACCCTCCAGGTGCAGCTGAACCCCTGCAGGGTTGCCGTGCGTGAACCTTCTGCTGTCTTCCCTCACCTCCTCCTCATCCCACTCTCGACCTCTACTCCTCTCTGCTGGTTCCCCCATCCTCCTCTTTCTCCTCCTCTTCCTCTTTCTCCACAACTCCTCACCTCCTCTTTCAGATTCCTTCCGGCGTCAAGTTTCGGTTCAAGTCAGACACAGACTTGTACGAGCTTGCTAAGGTCCTCCAGCTAAGTTCCTTCCTACTCGTCGCTCTGACGATTCTCCCGTCAAACAGACTCGCTCGTTCGCCTACTCGCTGGACTTAAGCCCTGACGGAGATCTCGTGGCTGCCATGTGTTCGGACAAGCAGGTACAGTGGACAACAAGAGGCGCAGGGGGGGGACAAGCAGGAGGGGAGGAGCAGGAGGGAGAAACAAGAGCAGCAGTAGCAGCAGCAGCAGGGGCAGCAGCAGGAAGAGGAGGGAGAACAGACTGAACAATCAGGGAGATGATGATCTGACTGTCATCGGAATAATGGGTCCTGGCTGACGCATGCTCGTCACAGGTCAGGATCTGGAGATGCCTCACGGGCAAGTTGTTCAAGGTGAGACGAGGGTTTCAAGGAGGAGAAGTTTGAGAGGTCGACCAGAAAATCGACGAGTCACTTTCAGCGCTTTCATCTTCTCAAGCAGAGGTAAAGTATCTCATCGGCTGCTGACTTGAAAGTCAGCATTGTCAGCACCATGTCGCAAGTCCTCCCCTGCTTTCCTTCCTAGTTTTCTCCTCACAACAACCTTTCATCCTCTTATGCCTCATCTTGCATTTCATCCTCGCCCCTCCCCTCCCCTCCCTTACGTTCTCATAGGGAGGAAACATGGCCCTTGACGCTCTTGACTTCGGTCGTCGAATGGTGAGAGCACATGAGAGGACGAGACGGGAAATGACGTGTGAGCAGGCGGTGGAGAAGGAGATGGAGTCGAACAAGTCAAAGTGAGGAGGAGGAGGAGAGAAGGAGGAGGAGGAGGAGGAGGAGGAAGAGGAGGAAGAGGAGGAGGAGGAGGAACTCACGGGCATCGTCAGCGATGATTCCTGCATGCCGAACGCGATCTTCGATCAAAGTGGAAAGCTTTTGCTCTACGGCTCTCTGATCGGTGAGATCCGGACGCAAGAAAGTATCAGGAGGTGGGGAGAGAACGAGACTAGGAATGGAACAAGGGAAGGGGAGGGAGAAAAAGGGAAGATGGCGGTACAGGAGGGCAGAAACGAGGGAAGAGAACAAGGGGGGGGAGGAAATGCAAGGAACGGCAAGGCAGGGCAGGGAGCATGTTGGAGGGAGCATAGTCTTCTGTTAGTCTGACGGCATGTTTAGGCATCAAGGTTGTCAACCTAGTGGAGAACAAGGTCATGAGGGTGCTGGGAAAGGTGACGAGCTGCTGCTCTTTGACCCGGCTGACGCGGCAGCCAGCCCGAGTCAAGTGAAAGATTCCTCTCCCTCTCCCTCTATCAGGTAATTGCTCCTCTACCCCGCCTCTTCCCTCCTACCCGCCCGTGCTCCGCCCCCCCCCCTCCCTTCCTCTCCCCTTCCTCTCTCCTACCTCCTCCCTTCCTTTCCCTCCCATGTCTACTCTCGACACTCATCTCTCCCAATCTCCCACTCCCGACAACCTTTGCATCCTGCAAGTTTTACTTTCTCTTCCTTCCCTGTCTTGCGCTTGATCTATCTTGATGTGCCTGCAGGGAAGACAAGAAAAAGTATTTCAAGAGGAGGTAAGCTGAAATCTCTATGCACCCTTTCCCTTTCTCCCTTCATAGTGTACTTCCTCATTCAGCTTTCCCTCCCTCCCTCCCTTCTTTCCTCTCTCCCTGCGTTCCTCCTCTCTCTCTCCTTTCTTTTTCCTCCCTTCCTCTCACCTTGAAATCCTTCGCTCCTCTTCCTTCCTCTCTCCTCCTTCATCAAGGTTGATCGTCCCGTTCCCGGCAGCTGGAGATCGATCCCATACTTTGCGCCACGTCCTATGGCAAGAGCCGTTTCTACTTGTTCTCCAAGAGAGAGCCTGCGACGAGCGGAGGTAAAACAAGGGAGGGGAGAGGGGAAAGGAGTTGTGGGGAGGAGGAGAAGGAGGAGGAGAGGAGGAGAGGAGGAGGAGGAGGAGGAGGAGAGGAGGAGGAGATGGTGGTGGTGGTGGTGAGAAGGAGGGGGAGGAGGAGGAAGAGGAGGAGGAGG